TATTGATAGACCGAAGTATGGAACCCCCACGCTACATTCCGGATAAAGACATGCTGGTTGGTGGACAAACAACACCAATTCGAGGACGGATATTGTCTTTGAGAGCCCGGAGCACATCGGCGTGGATAAACCCATACTTTTACTCTACCAAGAACTCGCTCCAAGCATGACGCAGCAGCCGATCGTCATCTGAAGACATAATCAGATTGAAACAGCCAAATTAGAAACGGCACCCACACAATCCAAAGAGAAACCCGTGATAAGTAGGGTGGGGGAGGGGAGGTAAGTATAAGGTGGAAGATTGGATTGAATGGTCTGGCTTAGTAGAGTATTTTTAGTTACTGAGTTGGCGGTTGTTGTTCTTAATAGGGGCTGTGAGTTTATTGATTGGCTTCATGTGCACAAGTAGATAAGTTATTAACTGCATTATTCTCTCAGTGTAGCGCCATCACCAGGTTCCGAACTAGCTCTTATGATAAATATAATTGATCAACAAAGGGGGTTTTACTCCATAAAATCTTCGCCACGCTGCAATCAAGAGAACAAAGTAGAGAGCAAAATCAAGCCCCATGCAACAATCTGCCCAAGCGCCTAATCGTGGTCTCATGAATATCCACCACCCATTCGAAATCCGAGAATTGTCCAGTCAGTATGGTATAGCTTCATCTCCGCGGATTGTTCTTCACTATTCCGTCTGCGCCCTTGTTGAACTTTACCCGACAATCCGGACAGTACCATTTGGCCGTGCGACTTGGTACCTCGGACAGCCCGACACAGTCAAGATGAAACCATTCTCGGTCACACTACTCATGTTAGCGGCGCCATCAAAGTAGAATTATAGAACACATACCTCTTGATTTTCACAGCAGATCATCGTCCCGAAACTCACGTCTCCACACAGACAATACCGTGGTTCGTTCGGGTCGATCTCTTCGAGGACTCCATCCTCGTCGATTCGAATGTCCTCGCGTGCCAGGGTACCATCTTTTAGGCCAACCTCACGCGTCCCAATCCGCTTCTTGCCGGGCTTCGCTTTGCGGCGACCGTAGCTTACCGCTGCACCACCATCTTGACCTGAAGACACAGGACCGGGTGCGGGGCGTTTACGCCTGCGATTGGGAGCACTCACACTGGCGGCTCGAGCATTTTCTGGCACAGGAGTCTTCCGAGCAGGCGTGGCGCTTTTCTGACGGAGTTCGCGCTTGGTAGAAGGTGCAACGGCGCTGGCATTGGTGGTTGGTTCTAATGATAAAGCAGCCGAGCGGCGAGATGGGGGTCGGGTAACCGGGGGGGTTGGCGTAGCCGCTTTTGCGGCTGTGATCGTGGGTTGTGCGATGGCGCGCTTGGGTCCAATTGGAGACGGCGGTAAGGAAGGCTTCTGCGACTCGGAGGTTTCTACAGCTGTAGGAGCTGGTGCTGCAGCTGTAGGTGCTTCTTCAGGGATGGCGATGTTTGGATCAACGGGTGTGGGGGATCCTTTGCTAGTTCGGCGGCGTTTAGTCGCGCTTCGCAGCGAAGGACGGGTTTCAATTTCCACAGGCGCAGTAGGAGCAGCGGAGACAGCGGGGGCAGTAGGAACAGGGGAAGTAGCGGAGGTAGCAGTAGGAGGAACAGAGGGTGTAGAAGCAGAGGGACCGTCGGGTGCAGAGGGTTCAACATTGGAGGTACCATCAGACGTGGAGGGAGCAGCAGAAGCAGATGGGGCAGAAGATGCGGAGGGGATGGGAGCTGAAGGAATGGGGGGAACCTCTGGGGGTGTCACCTCTTCGAGTTTCCTCTTTTTCCCTGCACGAGTGGGCTTGCTCACAGCTGGGACTTCTGGAACACTGGCTGTGGGTAAATTACTGGGAGCCACTGCTGGCTGCACTCCATCCTTGGCTGTTTGTTCTTGTGCTGCTGCAGCGGCGGCAGCGGCAGCGGCAGCCGCCTGCTCTCGGGCCTGGTTCTCCCGTTTGAGCTTCTTGGCCTCGTTCAGCTTCATGCCACGGTTGCTAAGCTTGGTCTCGAACGTGCCCTCGGTATCGCCGGTAGCCTCGCTGCGTTTGGTCAGCTTGCCCGGAACGTACGTGTTCATTATGTCGTCACAGTCCAAGAATTCAGCACCAGTGGCCTCGGCCTGCGCTTTCGCTGCCCGGTAAGCCTCCCAGCCGCGGCCGCGCAAGGCCAGCTCGCGATGAATCATGACCTCGCTGGGCTGCCAAACGGCATTCTTCTTCATCTTCTTCCGCAGTTTCGTCATTTCCCACTCAGTCAAACGCAACCATGGCATATCCTCACTTCCAGGTTTGGCGTCGTCAGGAGGTGGCTTGAGCATCGCTAACGCATTGCTGGTCGATATGGCTGGAGCAGAAGGGCCTTGAGCACCGGTCGAAGCTAATCCAGAGGTCCGCGATCGCCGACGGCCCTTCTCCTTTTTGGCGGGCGCTGCTGCCGGCTCCGGGGGTGACTCTGAGGGTGTCACTTTGCTATCCGGCTCCACATCCGAATGCTCTGTGCTGGCAATAGGCGAATCGGGATGCAAGTCGGCCAGATGCTCGGCGGAGATGAGAGATCGGCGTGTGCGCGACTTCTGCACAGTTGTCGCGCGAGCAGTATCGTGGCCATCCAAGCGCAACGTGATGCGCGTCGTGGTGGGCGGGCCAGAAACTTCCTCTGTTTTCTTGGTCGAGCGGCTTCTTTTGGTTGATGTGACGGGCGGCGCGGGAGGAGGAGTGGGTTCGCGCGACGCGGGCTTAGGAAGAGCTTCGAGCTTTTGCTTGATGCTGTCTAGCCGATTGAAGTGGCGATCAATGACATCGTAGAGACGGCAAGCCTCCGCATATGCCGATTCACGGGCGTTGATGGCGCGATCAAGATGTTCGGAGATATCTTTGCGCAGAGCACGCGCGTCGGGACGCACGTCCGAGGGGAGGGTGGGCAGCTGGCCATAAGCCTTGGTGAGATCATGGACGCCCTGTGTAGCTTCCAAGTAGCGTTCGTCGAGGCCGCGGATGAGAGTGAGGGAGCGAATGAGGTCAGCGGGGAGGTATTCGGTGTAGTCGATGTAGTCCGTGACGGTGGCCTGGGCGTCGGGATCAAAGGGGCCGTCGAGAATTAGCCCACCGGCGTCGTGGTAGTCCGCCATGCCATCCAACAGGTAGACGGAAAGGGTATACGAATGCGAAGGGGCGATAGATGGAGCGATTGAGTGAGCGACAGAGGGAGCGTTGAAGGAATAGGCGGACAAATGGTCAGAGATGGGCGGGCACCATGGGGGTGGGTGCGGCCAGGAAGAGGGACTGGTCCGCACTTTTACATGGAGGGAGCTTGACAGACCAGAGCCTGCAAGCTAAGGTGAAGATGAGTTAAAGACAAAAGAGGAGATAGGAGGGAAATTTCAACGGAAGGACGAGGTGAGGAGGTAAGGGAGAATGAGAAACAATAGAAGTATGCTAATGACGGGGACTGAAGTGGAGGAGCAGCGCTGAGATCAGTTGGAGATGTTGGCCAGTTCCGGGCCTTTGATTCCCTCCGGCTGGAACCACCGCGGGTCGTGCCCGGGAATATAGTTGATCCGAGGTTGACAGGTCAGGCACAGGCACAAGCAAAGTATGCTGCCGTCTCATGTCCGGAAAATCCACCCTTCTTCCAGCATGATATCTGGAGTACATTGATGGCATTTGCCGGCGATGCTAAAATTCATACGCTAGTGCAGTGACAATAGATTATTATGTCTGCTATGATTCACAAGCTTCGACAGCGCACTATGCTCTCCCCCTTGCTGCGCGGTTTATGACTTGATCCCATGTCTACATTAAACACTAACTATGAGTTAAAGCATCAAGAATTGATTCTTGACCTAGAATACTCCAGTAATCAAGATCCATAAGGTACTTACCTAGCAGTGTGTAATACTCACTTAATAGTCATTATTGACAGCATCTACTTAGTTGTTGACGAAATCCACAGCCAATGTCTAATCGGATACGGGTATCAGGCACAAAGATGCAATGGATCTAGAGAATTCTTAATACTAGTTCACCCAGTTTTATCCTACGAACACAGAGGCTTGAAGCAAGCTATAATGATATGCGCTTTGAGAGCGTGGTATAACCTTAGCCGCTAAGAGCACGAGCCACATACCACTTGAGGTACACATTCCAACATCAACGCGAGAAACGCAGTCTCTGGGGTTACTATACGAAATCCAAGGGTTGAACGACTTTCTGGCTCATCTGGTTCATTGAATATGAGGACAACGGATAGAGAAAGCTTCAACCTCACTGGGGGTTCTCAAGACGGTTGGACAGAACGTGGCAACACCAATGAACAGATACTCCCTGAGCGCATACTCTGTTCTGCTGGCATGAGATTGGCTTGACAAGTAGTTTCCAATTTGTAAGAAAGTTTTTGGCCACATCGAAAATGTGCAGCCGCACATGTCTATGTCAGTGGTGATGCCGGGCGGTTGGACCCGCGCAGGAATAGAGCACCCCTAACAGTGGATTTGTGATCAACTTCAATCCGCCTGCCGTTCGGAGGCAACACAAGGCCCCACATACCAAAAGACCCTGGATCCCCGACTCGGTACCGACTATCTATGCTTTACGGCACAGCCTATTCTAAACTTATTCGTAAGGATCAAAAGGCAGAAAACACTGTAGCCTATAGACCCATTTACATGAAGGATTTAGGGTTCAGAATGAGTGTGGGCGTGGACCTACAGGCTTGATACGCAAAGTCGATCAACTTTAATGACCAGTCAAACACGCAGCTGGTTGGAGAGAATCAATGCTTTACGGTCGCCGTTTCATCATTTACTATGTATCCGGCCAAAATGTGCCGGCTTATGTATGCCCAGCCTTAAAAAATTGTTCTTACTCTGTGGATACCTCTAGAATGTTGATTGGGCAAGAAGTAAGACATCCGGAGTGGCTACCTGAATTTTGGAAGATGGGACTAGGGTCCACCAATTGTGAGTGAACGGCTTGACTATCTATCGCAAATTTCGACAATAGTTTGTGGATTTAAGCTACCCTAGCTCAGTAGCTCAATCCTTCGACCGCCGCTTGTTCTTGGGATACTAAAAGCTGCCGACACCAAGCTTGCAACAGTGCATTGATTAGAGTACCAAAGCTGGAACAGCAGAGTTGCGATTAGCCCCGTGGCGCCATGTACTGGCCAACTTCGCAAAACGAAAAATGGTTCTGCGGCATATTGTTCGTGCAAGGATTGCTTGTTATCGTGCTGAATATGTGAGTTCGAATATTGTTAACATATCATCCGCAGCTACTAAACCACATTTCAGATACAACCTCGTTCAGTGGCAATCATGGGTCAATCCCAATGCCACTCAGGTCGCCATATCATATCAGGTCCCCATTAACATAGCACTCATCATGTTCGCCGTCGCTTATGAATTATTCCTCGGTCTTGACATGGTACATCATAAGAATATCATCTTGCTTCTAGCCCTTTGCATTAGCAATGGATGTGTACTCGCCTATTCTGTGATGCAGTACATATCTATCCATATTACCACCTTGACCATTAGAGAAGACCGCGACTACTACAATAAACCATTGGTGGACTTATCCAGAGACCTGTGGAAAGAAATCCAGCCTGCTGAGCTTCTGGTTCCCATCACTGTCAGTATAGCGTCACTCCTCATGTGGCCGATCGCGTATTGGGTTCACAGAGAATTTTCTTGGGCTATATACCAGTATGTTCAGGGGAGCCTTCAGAGTCGAAAACAATATCGAGGATATGAGGTACTTAGAGTCCTGCAGAGCTTCATTCATTGGGAAAGTGTGATTAACTCTGACAGGCATATCTTGTTCTAATTAAATTCGACTTCTTTTTCTTGGTGGGCTTCATCATTCAGTATGACCTCATTGATGTCCACTTTGAGGAGCCTGAGTACTCCTTGACCTTAGCACTCATTCCAGCCGCACTGCTGGTGATGACTATGGGCACATATTTTGTCCGACGTGAATACAGAATCCCCACTGTTATTATTGCAGTCAGTCATGGAAAATCAGAATCACAATGTCCAAATGGCTAACTTGAACAGGTCTGTCGCCTAGGAATTGCGGCCTATCTACTGAGTCGGATCATTGTTCTATGTGGAAATACTTTGCGCGGCAATACACCAGGCAAGGATATGATGCTGCTCTTTGCCACTGTAGCATTTGTTCTCTCCTGCCTCATCATCGTATGCACAATATATTGCATACTGAACTTTGAACATGGTCTCAAGTCGGTGTTTGCCCGGAAGGATCAAGTTGCTCGGAGGTCTTTCGTGTTCCAGGAGCTTCCAAGTCACACGGACAGTACTCGACAGTCTAGACTCTCCCTTGACTAACCTGTATATTATATAAACTGGATTTGAGTATTTATCATAATTGAAAACTTCCTTCTTGTGTATGAGTGCGAACATTGGGTATGTATGCTCAGGAAACAATGTCATGTGCTGCGATTTTTGGCTGTTGATTGGTAGCAGCTGTGATGACAACCTTGACTCAATCAAGGAAGAAATAGAGCATTCCCTCAGCCAAGCATGATTTCCTTGAAACATTCAATAGCAGCAGTGATATAAAGCGATTTGTCATGACTATGAATGGCCCATAGAAAGGTCATGACAACCGAGTGAAGTGCGCTTCTGTAGGCCAACGTTCCGAAACAATGCCATGTCCAATTGGAATGTTTGCCATTCACTGGATTGTATTTCGCACCTACTAATACTTCTAGGAGGACCTCGTTGACTGTTGTTTCTCCGAACGATTGAAACCGCCGAGAGGTTGGTCTCGGTAAATGACCTTCATCTAGTGTCGCATTAAGACGCCAACTATGTCAACACAATAACTTCTACATAGAACACTGGAAATGTCTATTCACGTGGGTTCCTTATTCAATCATCTAATTTGCGTGGTGAAGTCGTATGAAAGATGAATCCTTCATGCCTGCCAGTTTTGACTGCATGGTTCATGGCGGAGACTACCGTTTGCACGCGTTTGCCAACGCACTGTTTATTAAATACCTCTTCTCTCTTCCTCGCTCGCTCCCGATTTGCCCCTTCAACACCTTCCTAGCCAACAAAATCAAATTTCGATTTCGTCACTCGCATTAACGCAATGGGCCCCGAAGAACGTCTCAAGCTGCTTTTTGCGCAGGATGAAGACCTCCTGAAATTGGACACCGGCCGCCGTCCCGCAAACGAATTTCGGCCCGATGATAACGTTGAAGGCCCTCAGACAGAGCTTACTGAGAACCCGGAAAACAGACCGTCAGCAACAACTACCCAGCAGACAAGTCAACCCACTCAGATTGTGTCTCTTGAACTCCCTTCTCCACCCGAGCTCCCTACCCCAGTCCCGGCAGATGAACACGTATTCCCCACCAACGGCCAATTTAGCCCCCTTTTGGCTATTGCCAAATACCCCTACAGACATATGAAAGGATCCTTGAGCCATGAGGTTTCCAGCCGCTTCTTTGACGCGGGTAAATTCTGGAATCGCTCGTGGGATATGTAAGTCGCTTGATCCATTGCTTTGTACAACTAGATCTGATAAGTGCCAGTTACTTTGTCCACGCACCAGCGTCTCTCGGATCTAGATTCGTGCTTCTTACGCCTACCAATGAAGTTAACTCCTTTTTGGAAGAGATAAATCGTGCTCTGACGTGTGAGTTGTCGCTGCCAACAGACATGTCCGCCGGGCTGGTCTTGTCTTTTAAAGATGGGTATCCTCAGCCTGTCTACCTCGGCCGCAGCACCACGCGTGAGACTAAGGAACAGCTCGAGTTACAAATTACTACTCCATCATCGGAGCACAACCGTCCTTCTGGAGATATGGATGAGGAATACGCTGCTTTCGAGACCATGATGGAAGCCGCTATCGAGGCCACCCGGAACAAAAAGAAATCTTCCAAGCAGAAACAGTTGATGCGTACGATGAAAGAGCTTGATATGAAGCAGATGGTTCAACGGATGCAGTGCTACTTTGGTTTGCGTTCCATGGATGACATCGAAGGGACAGCAGATATGGCTGACTGGGATACTCCGGGTACAGTGCCCACAGTGCAGCCGCTAGATGCTACCAAGGCAGTACCGTATCCATTCTGGAGAGAGCCGGTGTTTATCAGCATCGACGTAGAGTCGAATGAGCGCTGCCATAGCCAGGTGACTGAGGTCGGCGTGTCAGTGTTGGACATGCAGAGTCTGGTGGGAGTTCCGCCGGGCGTGAACGGCGACCAGTGGCGGAGCCGTATCCAGTCCCGGCATCTGCGAGTGAGAGAATACGGCCATATCGTGAATCATGAGTTCGTGTCGGGGTGTCCTGGCATGTTCCAGTTTGGAGAGAGCGAATGGGTGCTGCAACGAGACCTGGTGGACGTAGTGCGATCAAGTCTGCGCTTGGAGGATGCACTGAATCGTCGACTTGTACTGGTAGGCCATAATCTTTCAGCAGATGTCAAGTATCTCAAGCAAGTTGGGGTTGACGTGGGAGGATTTCGTGACCAGATCGACACAGCGCAGATGTTTCTTAAGCTGCGGAAGGAAGAGTCGGTACGGTCGCTGGGAGGCGTGCTGGCGAAACTTAACATAAGGGGCTGGTACTTACACAACGCCGGGAATGATGCGCGGTACACTATGGAGGCTCTCGTCGCCAGCTTTTTGGGAGCGAGTGATGAAAATTCGACGTAGGTGCTCGTATATGCATTGTTAGCCAATCATCCTCTCCAGGAGCTTCTTTCCAATTTGAATTTACCGGACACCATCCTTCAGAATATCTCTATAATACCTTCTCTGGTGTTCAAACTCATCATGAGGAATCATCGACTGCCTGGCTACGAAAGTTGTAGAATAATGCATCTAAATAATCCAAGAATGCGTCTGCTAACTTCAGTGAGTTCATCGGACATGCCGCATATGATGTGGTGAATAATATTAGTTCGTACTTTGAAACAATCCTTAGCAATCTGTAGAGATAATCAGAGACATTATAGTACTTGAGGAAAATCTATGGGACTCAGCAAACATACTTGAGAACCCCACAGAACAAGAATTAGACAAGCTCCTGTGCTAAACGTTACATGCTGTTCCTGAACCTTCCTGCAGAAACCAACCCTAATCTAATCCCTGCCGCCGATCTCTCCCCTCCACAAGCCCCGTACTTACTTACCCCACCCACATCATCATCACCATCATCTTTCCTCAAGCCCCTCCTGACAAGCAACAACAATTCTCCTACAACTTCCACTTTCACCACCGACCACCTCACAACCACAACCACAACCAAAATGACCTCCCTAACAGCCCACTTCCTCAACCTCAACCCCTCCGCCCTCCACACCTCAACCACCCACCCCTTCCTCCACTCCGCCGGCACTTCCACCCTCCCCAAAGCCACTCTCTCAGCCTGGCTCTCACAAGACCGTCTCTACGCGCAATCCTACGTCCGCTTCATCGGCCTCCTCCTCTCCAAAATCCGTCTCCCTTACACAACCACCGCCACTACCAAAACCCCCGCCCCCCTCGAATCCCGCATCCTCTCCCTCCTCACCTCCGCCCTCCTCAACATCCAACGCGAACTCACCTTCTTCGAGACCGTCGCCGCCGAATACAACCTCGACCTGCAAGTACCCCCACCGGGCGCGACCACCTTCGGCCCTAGCGAAGCGACGCACGCATACACGGATTTGTTCCTTTCCTCAGGCTCGAGCGGCGTGACGTTGTTGGAGGGGCTGGTGGTGTTGTGGGCTACGGAGGTGTGTTATTACAAGGCGTGGGGATATGCGAGGGGGGTTATGGAGAAGGAGAATAAGGGTAGAGAGGGAAGTAATGATGCGGATGGCGGTGCTTTGAGAGTGCAGTTTATTCCTAATTGGACGAGTGAGGAGTTTGGACGCTTTGTGGATGAGATTGCGGGGTTGGTGGATGAGGTTGCTGCGGGTGTTGCGGGTAGTGAGAGGGAGGAGTTGTTGAGGAGGTGTGAGCGGTGGTGGAGGCAGGTTGTTTGGTTGGAGGGGATGTTCTGGCCGGAGGTTTGAGAATTCGAATTGGTTCTATGGAAGGTATAATGTGTATGGTTGAAAAAAATGGTGTTACGGGGATATATGGGTTTAGGATATGATTGGGATGGATGTATATACTGGATTGGACTGGCTCCTGTTTAAAATTTGCTATATGGGGTCACGATACCGTGACTGAAGGCTGTTTGATCTCGGTATGAGTCTCAGTGGGGTTTAATATCCTTTAAAAAACTGTGCACTCATCGAGTTTAATTAGTCCAGTACCATCGATCCCCCACTCTGAGAGGCAACATTAATGAAGGGAGATGTGGGCCGCATCGAGGAAATTCGATGGGTGTCGATACCTTTTCCATATACAGCCCACCTTTTGGAGCCGCTAGCATGTCATACTAATGATATCTCCAATTAATCAATTTCTTAATTTTTTTCTAAGTACCCCCGGTCATTACGGACAGCCATGTTGTGGCTCCAAATTAGCCTCCATATCGGGAGAACAGTGGATCAAGGCCCCGTAAATAGATCTACTTCAGTAATATTGCTTCATTTGCTCTATCATGATAATATTAAGATCTACAAAGTCAAAACAATGCATCCCAATATCGCATGTGCATACTGCATAGAACTCCTCGACAAAACATATTATTGTACTGTACGAAGCAATCAAATGCAGTGGGTCCGATTCACCGCCCACTAACTGAACTGCCGACAGTAATTCCACTCACCGCATCCAAGATCACCTCCCAAGCAATGTGATAAACAGCATCATCACCCTTCACCATCAACTCAATTCCTCCTAATCTACCACCCCAAAAACAATCTAGTACCAATAGAAAATGCCTCCTAAAGCTCCCAAGGGCGAATACATCGAAACAGTACGTCCTACCCCACCACATTCTCTCCCCATCCCCCTTCCCCCCCAACAACAAACAAATCTATACTAACCCACCCTCCCACCACCACAGGACACAGGCAACAAAATCTCCCGCCGGTCCTTAATCCACGGAACCCAGCACATCATCCTCGGCGGCAAGACAGTAATCCAAGCGGACGCCGTCATCCGGGGGGACCTCTATCGCTCCTCATCCTCATCCTCATCCACATCCACATCCTCCGACCCTGGCGGCGGCGGCGGCGGCAGTGCACCAAACAGCCCCTCCGTGGCCATTACAATCGGCCGATACAGCTATATCTCGCGACAAGCGATCCTGCGACCGCCGTCGCGACTACACCGGGGTGTGTATTCGTTCTACCCGCTCAAGATCGGGGACCATGTGTTTGTGGGCGAGCGGGCGGTAGTGGAGGCGGCGACGGTGGGGAATCATGTGCATATTGGGAAGGATGCGGTGGTGGGGAGTATGGCTATCTTGAAGGATTTCGTGTATGTGTTGGATGGGGCGGTGGTGCCGGGGGGAATGGTGGTGCCGAGTTGGTGTGTTGTTGGGGGTGCGCCGGCGAGGATTGTGGGTGAGGTCGGGGAGGGGTATGGGGTTGAGGGGGCCGAGGGGGGGTTGGCGAGGGAGAGGTATAGGTTGGTTGGGAGGTGAGGAATTACTGACTACTAGTACTTATTGTTGATGATGATGGTTATGATTGTTTTAGTTTACTTGTGTGTATGTGTGGCTGTTTAGTACTATACCCCCTTGGTCTAGTTTATTTTATTTTATTTATGAACTCTGTGCGCGCGATATATATCAAAAAACAACAATCTAGGTACATAGTTCATATTGTCTGGCTCGTTGGTCGTTGGCCAGACTTACAGTGAGATCCGTCTAAGCCGACTCTCTTTGCTGGTGTATTCTACGCCTGCTTCGGTGCGCGCCATGTCGTTGATCCACTGCTTGTGCGGTTTGACTTCTTCTTTCTTAGAGAGCTTGGATGACAGGTACAGCCAGTTCAGGGCGTTTCCGACTGTGCTGACCTCGTCGCAGACGTTCTCAAGCGCAAATTTCTTGGTCCGCTCGTATAGATCGTCGTCAGTGCACAATTCGAATAGGTGTTGTGCAACTGCATCTGTATCGCCGACTTCTACTAGGAAACCGTTCTTCTTATCTGCTACTTGTAATGGGATTCCGCCAGCCTTGGTTGCGATCACTGGGGTACCCTTGTGGATTGCCTCGGATACCTTGACTTCGAACCCTTCACGTGTGGACAGCTGCAGAGCGACCTTGGCCTTTGAAAGGAGTGCGTTAAGCACCTGATCCGAGGGTCCAAGTCGGACAACGCAGATCTTGTCAGATAGGTCTGGAAGGTCTTTCTCAATGTGAGCTAGCACGGAATCGTAGATAACAGTGCCATCGGGGTCGTCAACGGAGCCGTGCCCACAAATAAGCAGTTTGGGCGGCGTTCTGTCGGGTAGGGATGAGGTGAATCGTCTATGGAACTTCGCATATGAATCTACAACGTCGAAGATACCCTTGGAAGGGTCGAACCGGGCAATTTGAACAATGTACTCATCTGCTAAGTGGTTAGCGCCACCGTGATCGCAAAGCCTACGCATGTGTGGCTTTAGAATCGTCCTCACCATGTGGATAATTTAAAGTCATCATCCCTGAGTTCCTGCAAACAGAGTTGAAGACACGGCCGTAATAGGCGACATCCTCTTCACGCATGTTCTTATTCAGACCATCCAACCTAACTCGGAATGTCAGCTAGATATATCATGCAGGTATCTTTTGAGACTGACCAATCAGTTGAAGCAGGCATATAGCCCACCATCTCGTCTGGAACATCTTTCGGCACGAAGATGCTCACTGGGTGACTGATAAACAGATCTGCCTGCTGCACCTGTTTCCAGATCCACGACCAGGTGTCTGCTTGTGGGGAGCCAGGTTGATCGATCAGATCACTGCGGATTTGGATATGGCTTCGGAAAATGACCGGTCGGTTAGGTGCTAGCTTCTTCGCAATGGGGATCAATGCGGGCATTTGCGGATCGTCGATAATGATAACGTCGGCTCCTCCCTCCTCAGGAGGCCGCAGAGGACCGCCGGGTGAGAGCCAGTATCGTTTCGCGTTCTCGTTGATCCAATCAATAACCTTTTCCCAGTCCTCATTGCTCAGGCGCTCATCTGGAGCAGCAACGCCTTGCAGAATATTATGGTTGTTCTTGGTTATGCGAAAAACTCCAGGCCGCGGTTTGGGGACATACCTAATTTGAGGATCTATTAGATACTCGATATCAAACGCTATATGGATGAAAGACTTACCACTTGATGTCAGTTCCCAACGAGTAGGAGAATCTTGCAAGGGCGTGTCTCATGAGGGCTACTCCTCCGCCCTGAGGAGTGGCACTAAAGAAGGCAGTCTTTGTGCCTCTGTTCTTGAGATCGTCGGCATAGTAATTAACTGCATCCCAGGTCCTCTGTGTGACTGTCTTCTGGAAGTCCTCCAGGTTTGTAAGGCGCACATGGAAGGCAGTGTCAACTTCAACTAATCCCAAGAAACCGACTTGCAACAACGGAATGTTTTCAGGGCCAAACAACCTTGAGTGCTGTAAGCACATGCACACTGCTTTAAGCTGGGCAAGACATACCTGACACACTTGCGTCCCATGGACTCGGCCTGTTCATCGATGCTCTTAAGCTCCCAGCCAGTAGACTTCCGGACAGGATGATCAACGTAGTGATCAACTCCGATATTACTCTCCTCGGGCAAGACCAAGGGAATCACATCCAGCTCCGACCAAAGACGTGAGCATAGAGTGGGGCATTTCCGAGCCACTGACGTTGGCATTGCCAACCCGATGAACTTCTCCAGGCGTTCGTCACTATACTCCCGCAACTGGTTCAGCACATAGTCGGTGATTTCAGCACAGACGGTCCGGCCACCCTGTGGAACAATGTTCTTCTGATGGAAGTCGAGCAGATAGGTAGTATCGCGAATCGCAAGGGCTACAGTGACTCCATCGTCATCAAACAGTACTGAGAGACCAGCATAGATAGTCTAATGGAATGCCATCGGTTAGAGATGTCATGGGGTATTCAGGCAAAAGAGAACTTTACCTTTGACGGAGGGGCTTCCCAGGAGTTCCTGTCAAACTGATGCGAGAGCTGCAGCTGATGAAAGGATGAACGGCGCTGGAACGGCTGGATACCGTCAGTGGTCATGTTGGCAATGATGATTGAGAACTATAGATAGAGTACAGTGTCTAGGGGATTCAATAAGGTGATTAGACTGCTGCTCAGGATTTGAAAAAAAGGAACTGTTTCCTATAAATCTCAATGAAGGGACTTCAGGTTCGGTCGCCGGTCCGGGGTTTGTAAGACCATGGGTGGTGGTGGGATGACTTCACCAGTCCATGGCGTGTGCTACCACTTCGCCATGACGTATTGCAAACAGCATACGATTTACTCCGGCGGCAGTGAGAATCCACCTTTTTGACCAGGATCATTGAAGAATAATTGGCCATGAAGAACTGCAGGTGGATCAGGAGATGTTTGGTAGCTTGTAGGTTCCTTTCTCCCAAATCATATCAAGGTACCCCGAGGCATAACCATCACCAGTCGATATGGATGGTGTTGATCGTCGGGAGCGGGGACTTCCGATAGGTACTACACAAGATAGCGAGTGCGCTAAGTCTGCAGAACGTACTTGTGCTTGGTAGTGACTTGTAAGATCAAGGCTAGGTTCATGGCACAGGCCACGCTAAGAATAAAAAAAAGTCCGTCGCCAAGGAGTCGGTCTACTTGCTTCTATTGACAATAATAATTTGATTGCTAGGCGCATCTACAATATATCGCAAAGGTCCTCTTGATCGGTGGAATAACTGGGTCCAAGTGGAGTACTCTGTTAGTAGTTCTGCTACAGGCAGGTGCTTGTGTGTGCCTGAGGATACGCTGCAAATACTGAAACCACCGATTGCTTGGCGCGGGGCGCTTAGTCATGGGCAGCCCCTTTTACGGAGCGCTCGAGCAGACGAGCGAGAGAGCGAGAGAGAGAGAGAGAGAGGCGCTCCTCGTGTGGATCGTGAACCCTGAAATTCCTATTGCTGCTGTTCGATCAATCGTTGTGCAATTTGACTTTCGACCCTGTTGGACCGACACTCTCTTCTCTCTGCTTCAACGTGCGTCGGTATCGCCCCTTCTTTACATAAGGTAAGTTCCATATGTCTTGTTTACCTTGCGTCTGCGAACGCATGGTCCATCATGGAGACGTCGCCCTGTTGACGCGGACCGCTAGCACGGGGTAATTGACCTTACGTTTAGTTTTCGTTGTCCTCTTTCTCCCACGGCCCCCTACTCGACCAATCGGTCCACCATCTAGAATCCCGATTTCTCACTGCACTTGGATTGCATCGGAGACGCTCTCTGGCGCTCGTTGAATCTCCGCAGGCTCAGTCGCTCCTTTGTCCTATCAACAGTCGGCGGTCTTCAGGAGACGCCTCCTTTAGTCACAATGGGTGGTCAAGTGTCCAAGATTATGGGGAAGATTTTCGGCACGAAGGAGATGCGGATTTTGATGCTGGGTTTGGATGCTGCTGGAAAGACCAGTAAGTTTGCTCCTCGACTCTGCGTCGACTCATTGACCATGGCTATGTGGAAACTAACACAGTGCGTTAGCAATCCTCTACAAATTGAAGCTCACCAATCAGGACGTCACCACTATCCCTACCGTCGGTTTTAACGTTGAAAGCGTCACCTACAAGAATGTCAAGTTCAATGTTTGGGATGTTGGTGGACAGGACAAGATCAGACCCCTCTGGAGACACTACTATTCTGGTAGGTTTTCACTTTTCGCGTGCTTTCAGCGGATCGTGGGGCAGTTGGCTGACATTGGGTGAACTCTTCAGGTACACAAGGATTGATTTTCGTCGTGGACTCCAGCGACACTGCTCGTTTGGAGGAAGCTCGCTCCGAACTTCACAAGATTATCAACGATCGCGAAATGAAGGATGCTCTTCTGCTGGTCTTTGCCAACAAGCAGGATGTTCAAGGCCGTAAGTTCCCGCATTGTTATGGTGGGAAACGACGTCGCGACTGACCAGGATTCTTCTTGCAGACATGAGCCCCGAGGAAGTTACTCAAGCGCTACAGCTCACCAAGTTGAAGGATAAGCTGTGGTACGTTGCTCCAAGTGTCGCAACGGAGGGAACTGGTATCTTTGAGGGCCTGGTAAGTTACACGCCCCCTCATCGGCAATGCTCAGCCATCTAACGCTCAACTTTCGCAGGCATGGCTCTCCAACAACGTCAAGACGCAACCTCAGAAATAAAACAGCCGCCAGCCAACACCTGAGCCGCAAAATTTGGAGGCCATCTGCACGGCCTCTCGTGTACAACAGTTTCCTTTGTACCAACTGAACCATCAGAACACCTCTCGTTTCACGTTCGATTTGATGACAGAAGACGCAGCATTTGGATCCTGTGTTTGCAATATTTCCTTTCACGCGCACGCCGTTCCGCTTTTCTTTTCTCCTTTATTTTCATGATATCCCCACTGTTTCGATGCGGGTCATTTCGAATACCGTCTCTTAATACTATTTTCCTATTTTCCTTTCTCTGTTGTCTGCTTTTCTTCGCCGCCCCCCTTCTCGTGTGTAGAAACATTCAAAATAGAAGGAACTTGGATCAGCACATACCTGCATACATATACTCCCTTTAATGTTTCCTTTTCTTTTTTCTCTCCTCACATTTATTTATTTATTTATATCCCAGTTGTATTTTCCCCGGCTCGGTTGTTGATAATATTCTTTAGATACTACCAAACCCCAAAAAATCCACACTTTATGAATAAACGATGAAACAAAAAAGAAAGGAACCCAAACCAAAACAAACAAACAAAGATCATACTATGTTCCACCAACGTCATTGACTCATGACCTCCCTCCCAGCCCAGCCCACCCCGTAAAAGGCCTCGGAAATTCCTCCTCCAGACACATGGAACGGAAAGCTCGTCCCTCCAGTCACACTCCTCCTGGCCATCGGATATATTATATATAAGCAAAACCCAATCTTGCATAAATCAATTAGATAGAAGTAGGGATGTTGATGTATTGATAAATAAGCTCCGAGCACATGCACAACTCTCGATTACCCGCCCCATCCATGGGTAATAAATGTGGCTGGTTCCCAAGTTTTTCAGATAGCATCAATCTGACACCAGTGGCTCTGGGAAGGAAAAGTTAACTTGATGGGTTGTTAGTTAAATATACGACACAACACCACGTAGTTGTTTTGCTGGATAGATGGTTACTTATATGTTATCTGCACCAAACACACATACACACACTACAAGACTACCACAGATCTTTCTTGATTAAGAATACTTACCTGAACATGCCCGACTACGCAACAGGTGATACGGTTCGCTATAAGCCTATTGGCGGTGAGTTACTATACCCTCCCTCTCGTCCCTGTCCGCTCATTTCGGTAGATTTGAGAGAAAGAAAAGGAACTGACGACGGTGTATTCGATACGCAGGACCTGATTCCAAAACTGCCGAAGCAATCGGCATCATCCGGGACGTCCGCACGCACTCTGGTACCATGACGGGGCGGAAGATCGAAGCGTCGGATGAGATGCCGCGGTATGAGGTGCGTGTATATTGATACGTATGGATGTGGTAGGGTAAGCAGTAATGCTGATTATGGGTCTGGGATGGTATTAGATCGAGAATGCTCATACACATAAACGGGCGGCGATCAAGGAGAGTAGTATTCTTGGACCGGCGGAGTGAAAGGATCATGATGTTATCTATTGATGCGCGGGGGGAAGTCCTTGGTTAGGGGTGGTAATCTTATTTAATAATGTTTCAAGGTAAACGGCAAGATGAGAGATAGTTAATGGTTGACAACAAAGTGATCTGCCTTCATTAACTTCTTGGGTGGGACGTTGTGCTTGCAGTGACTCCAAGGTACTCAGTTCGGCGAATTACATAATGGCACATGTGTCCAGGTGTATGGTATTTGAGAAAGTGAAAAAAACAATCGTGAATTTTTCTAAAACTATACATCCGATCCATATGTTAAATAACTGGTATCCTAAACGCTAAAGTCGTCACATTCATTCATACTCCCTTTCGTTGTTGAATCGACAGGAGTTTATGTCGCGGCCATTCACGACGGGTATATTTACAGCTGGCCGGGCCAGATATCGTTGGCGATCTCGCGCACAAGCTTCAGCTTGGCGATCATGCCATCGCGGTCAATGGCGTTACCCTCACGGTGACTGGCAAAGCCACACTGGGGGCTGACACCGACCTGGTTGAGGGCTTCCTCAAGAGAGATGTTGTTGCCCTCAGCGATGAACTTGGCAGCGTCATAGACACGCTTCTTCATCTCCTCCTTGTCCTCGAGGGCAGCGAACTTGCTGGTCACAACACCCAGGATGACGTTCTTGTGGGTAGGGAGCTCCTTCAGGGGCTCGAAGCCACCAGCACGAGGGGTGTCATACTCGAGGTAGTAGGTGTCAACGTTGAGCTCCTTGAAGAGCTTGGTGGCAATGCGGTCGTAGCCACCCTCGGAGAAGTGACGGCTGCCAACGAAGTTACCACGGCAAAGGTGCACACCGATGTGCATATCGGCAGGGCGCTTAGAAATGCTGTCGTTGTACAGCTTGATGTACTGCTCGAAGGTCTCATCGGCGGAGCGAACGTTCAGAGGGTCCTCCTTCCAGCCAGCAAGCATCTTCTCAGAGCAGAAGTCTGCAGTTTGAGTCAGCGTATTATCCTCATGGATAGATATACAGACAGGGTGGACTCACAAGCAAGGTTGGGGTCGTCGAACTGGACGTTCCTGCAGCCAACATCATACAGCTCCTGCAGCTCAGCCTGAACCGCCTTGGCGATGTCACCGAAGTACTCCTCATCGGAGCTGTACACGTCCTTGGGGTAGGCCTTGCCCTCCTTGTACCGCAAGTGGTACCAGTTAGGAGCAGCAAGGGTGATCTTAAGGTTCTTGACCTCCTCGGGAGGAACAACGCTGGCCAGGTACTTGAACTCCTTGGTGTAAGTGCTGCCGACGTGCTTGATCTTGCCGGTGCAGATAACGGTCTCACCAGGCTTGTGACCAGCCTCGAGGAACGCGGCAACATCGGGGGCGTAGGGGCGGAAGACATCAGCATCGACATCACTGACCTCCTCGAATCCCTCAAGTCCAGGGAAGAAGGAACCCCAGAACACTGTCGCGGTCAACATGTCAGCAATGAGTCCCTCTGATTATGCGCGATGTATGAGGGCCTAGCTTACTGTGACGGCGGTACTCTCCGTCGGAGATGGCGGCATAACCCAACTTCTTCTGGGTCTCCGCGACCTCCTTCACATCCTTGTTCTCGATAGCATCGAGCTGAGCCTCAGAAACCTCGCCATTTTCGAAAGCGGTCTTGGTCTTGAGGAGCTCCTCCGTCCGGAGGAGAGAGCCGAGGTGCTCAGCACGGAAAGGAGGGTTACGGTGGAGTTGAGGGGCCATGATGATTGAAAGGGCTTGAGTGTTCTGTCCAGAAATCAGTTAGAGAATCCAGTGGCAACCAACTTATCATGGGTTCACGGAAGAAACATACCTGGTCTGGTGACAGAATGGAGAGAAGAAGACAACAGCCGACTCGAGTCAAGAAGAAGGAAGAAATGGGGGGCAAGAGACCCCCTCATTTCTCAGCAAGCGAGTTCTCCGAGTCTTGCCCATGTTCTTCTCCGGTCTGTCCTTGCCCCACCGCTCTGGAAAGTGACCCCAAATTCTGGGACCGATTTCGCAGGCCCAGACAACAGACAGAAAGATAAATCGAGCAAATTCTTGCGATCTTGCGCGCCCTTTGAGTACTATACTACTTGGTACGATTACTTCCACTCGAAAACAAAACACGTCGAGTAGTTTCATAAAGTTCAATGCCTTCTGGCATCAGGGACAGCTTGCGACGAAGGATTGAGCCAGAACTACTACAGTAAATCCAGAAAGGCGGAAAGAAGATCGGCAAGGAAGCCTCCGGTGGGGCCAATGTATAAGTACTGACTCAGCAATCAATTTCATCTGGGGTTCTTTCTGTTCTGGGCTGGCTGCAGATGCCTAAAGCAAGTATATTAATTTTACTAGTAGTTACTGCGACAATTTCCTATCTCCCCGTTATTATTATATTATTGCACTGGGAATAGTACACTGTTGTCGGGTGGCTGCGATGTTGTCGAGTGTCAAAACAAGCCAGTGCAGGAGTTGCGGGGAGAGACTAATGCAGCTCCACATTCATACAGCGAAGGCGTTCCTATAAAGTTGGCGTGATTTCCAAAGCTATACAGAGTATGTTGTGTCGAGTCTGGCTTGGATTCAGTGAAATATGTAAATTTGGCGCGTGTAAAGTGCGATCACAGATCACAGTAGTCCTGCTATCTGTGCAAACACCAATTTAGTCTGTCAAAGCATTCTGTCACGGTTTTCCTGCTTATGGAGCCATCTTCGCCATTCGACTATCACGTGAAATGAATGTGGGGTCCCCCGGCAATTGACAGCCAGCATTCTTCCCGAAACTCACCACGCCATAACTCCTTTCTGGAAAGTACATCGCTGTGGGCTGGCATTAATGTCCAATTCATTGGTTTTCTATACTTGATTTGAAGCTCATAGTCTCCGCAATGTGAGGCATTCGGACGAAAACTTTATCTCAGATTACTGGAACAATGTCTTCACCACATTCGCCCTTGGAAAGCCTTCCGAATGAGCTTCTGGATCAGATCATCTCCGAACTCTCGGCTTCCCCTCCTTCTCAGTCCAGGGTGCACAAGCCTCCTTGTATGCGTATTACTACATCTAGAACTAGGGATTTGAAGAATCTTGCACGCAGCTCCTCCCGACTCCTGGAGCTGGTGCGCCCCCACCTCTTCGCTCACGCATGCTTCGATATCAAAGATGTAGCGGGCTTTGTCTCCTTTATAACGAGTTTAGATCTTGGTCGATATGTAATATCGATTGTGGCCAAGGGGATGGACTCTCCCGATCATCGAGAGGATCCCTATTGGTGGCGTCCAGTACTCGATAGTCTCGATCCGTTACGGATTATTGTGATTGCACCTCCCCCATTTCTGGCCGCCATGCTTGACACACGGATCATGGACGGACATAGCTGGGCATTCGAGGTTCCTTTCCAGGTTCTACAACTGGAACAGAACTCGCGGGTCTGCAAGCCTCCTCTACCATCAGAGACAAAGCAATCAGTCAGTCTGCTTGAGACTCGAGTATGGTCTTCCTTTGCCTTCAATGAGTCGTCCTCGCTCAGGGCGTACAATCACTATGAGTATTTCATGTTCCAGGTTCCTTCCCTATTCAATAAGTGGGGAACGGTGGCAT